AAACTAAATTAATGTAATATTAATATATAATATTGATTTGTGATATTTCACTGTAAAATAAAAAATCAAGTGTTTAAGAAAAATAAAATAATATTTTACAGTGCAATAAAATTATATAAAATAATATTATTATAAAATAAAAATGTGAAACAAAACAACTTAATGTAATTGAATTTAATCTATGCAGTGCATATATGTATATAATTAAATCGCAGCCTTTGTATTTTGATAATCACACTAAGTCATATTGCAGTTTTGATTTGATTTTGATTATCATGCAGCCCACTGACAATAATGCACAACACATCTGAAACTGCATAGAAAGGCCTTGACAGCTACGCTAACATCAACGACTTTTGCATGGGCAACCACACTCATATTTACTTCAGAAAATGCAAATGTCTAGTACGCTACATCAAAACACAGTGGTTTGCTGGAAACCAACGCAACCAGTCCCAGTCTGAAATCCACAGTCTGACACTGAGAATTACAAAAACCCTGGAGCTGTAACGTAACTAAAACTGACTGGTGTTTCAAATGTTCAAACACACATATAATGCTGTGACCAGTCTCTGGCCCCTCCCCAAGAGGCGTTTTTAACAGACTGTCTATGCAAAGTACTAGCGATGTAACGTTTAACCGCGAGCCGGTTGAAAATCGATTCAAATATGTGACGATTCAAATCAGTTGAGATGCCAAATAAATCGCAATTCATTTAGGGGTAGGAGTTTATATGAATGCATGTCTGAGGAGAACTTACTGTCTTTAGAAAAGTTTAGACGGTATTTTTTCTTTTCATCTTGCCTCTGTATAATGCATATTAAAGTGCAGCGCTGCTTTGTTTACAGCGGAAACCAAGGAAAGGCTTTAAGCGCCACCTTCTGGCAGAGAGTGAATCTGCGTCTCATTCAGCTCATCCGCTGTTTCATGCAGATATTTTTATGTACAGTTTCACAAAACTGAAGTCAAACCATTCTGTTTTTGCTTCAAATTTTGAAATTATAGATAGATTAAAAACTGCTCATGTTGCATGTATGCATCATCTTTGTTTGGATCATGATTAAAATGCAGTGGTTGCCTCTAATTTTACATGGAAAGAGCACAGACAAAGCCTTATTTTGTTTATATGAAGAGATTTCTTTTATTTGTGTTACTTATGTATTTGATTTGGGGCTTGTTTTAAAATTTCAATTTAGTTTTGTTATTTACATTTATATTGTATTTAAATGTTGTTCTTTAGCAGATGCTTTTATCCAAAGCGACTTACAAATGAGGACAATAGAAGCAATCAAAACCAACAAAAGAGTAATAATATGCAAGTGCTATATTAGTATATTATTATAGTTATATTTCCATTTCACAAATAAATGCGCAGCATTTTGTCCAAGCAATAATAAAAGGATACATTTAATTTATAATTTGTCTTAAATCTCATTTTGTAAAAAAAAAGAAAAAAAAGAACGTGAATCGAATCGAGAAATCAAAATCGTGAATCGAATCGAATCGTGAATGAGTGAATCGTTACATCCCTACAAAGTACAGTATATGTGTGTATTATTCAAAGAGATTCTCAATGGGCCCTACATAAAAAATTACAGTATATACTTGAAAAACAGCCCAGGATCTGTCATGTACAATTTGTAAATCACATCATATTACAGTAAAAAGTCAAAAACTGAGACAGTGTTCAGACAGGAGCTTGTTGTTCGCTGTTTCACTGAAATAAGAGACAGATTTGAGCAACTGGACGTTCTGATGTTTCACCACGGTGTAGTCAAGGGTCTTTAGAGAACATTTAGTTTCATTTCCTTCCTCCATCCCATTTCCTCATTTCCCCAGCGGGTGTCACTGCTCGGAAACTCTCTGTCCAAGGAGTGGGCGTCAGCATTTGTGTTTCCCCCTCCAACCTAATGATGTGACAGTGACTATCTGGCATTACAATGACAGTGTGAAATAACCGCTCACCGGTGATTCTGCAGCAAACCAGATACACACCACTGGGTACAAATAAGAGGGTTGGTGTGCATTATATGCATTTTGTAATGTAGATAACTTAACTGTTTGATAATGGAATCTTGTAAACGTAACTCTCACTGACATCTGTTGATATCTAAATAAAGTTCTGACGCCCTGCCAAACACCTGTTGCCATTTCCTTCCACTCTTCTCAAAAGCACACACGTTAAACGGAAGAAACCCATAAACCAACTGTCTGACTGACGCAGTGCGTGAGAAAGGCGCTTGACTTTGTGGCTTCCTCAAACTTGCACTTCCACGTTTCATGTTTCAAACCTGCCCAGAAGCTTCTGTGTTTTAAACCTGTACTGTATGAAGGCCCAAGAGAATCCGCTAACTGCTGTTCGCATTTTCTGTGCTGATTTTGGAGCAAATTTTCAGAATTTGATATATTTCGATATATAATTTAAAATGTAATTATATAATATAAAACTACATTTAAAAAACTATTAAATTAGAAAACAGTCAGTTTAAACTGCAATATTGCAATAATATTTTACAATATTACTCTCTAGTGTATCTTCATAAAAAAGTTTACCAACCCCAAACTATAACTATATATATAGCTGTATTGTATATTTTAAATTAATATATTTGTATATAAAATATTTATAAATAAATAAATAATCATTATTTGATGAATACAAAAGTTCAGAAGAACATCATTTATTTAAAAAAAAAAATTTTTTAAACAACATAAATGCCTTTACTGTCTCATTTTTAAATCAATGCATTTTTGATAAATAAAAGTATTAATTTCTTTAAAAAAAGACCCCAATCTTTTGAAATGTTACTTATTTATGTATTTATTTATATATATATATATATTAATTCAGAAATTTCAGGGGTGAATTCGGCATTATATTTTAATTATACGGCTATTGTGGGGTGAAGGGAAACCCAAAGGGCCCATTGGGCCCCTGGAGGTGCCCTGATGAGGTGGGGACTCCAGCTTTAAGTTTGCTCTCTTCACTGCTTTTGTCTGAGCTGTTCCCCCGGGACGCCTGAGTCTGTGTCCCATGTGCTGTAATGAGTCTTTGATAAAATAGCTGCCAAAAACGTCATGAATAATTCATGCAAGGATTCAGATGCTGCCCTTAGAGATGGAAATGTCACCTCTATGCTCAAAATGCTGGTTTACACAGACCATTTGCTCATTTTCTGTTCCTTTTTTTTTGCATATGTTAATTCTCAGTGGATAAAGCCCTTTGGTGAAAGAAGATGCATCTACATCAGTGCAATGCAAAAAGAATCTATGATATAACAAACCAAATGAAAACAAAGAAGCATATCTGATGTAATCAGTAGCAAGGCGATGCAAAGCCAAAATGATGTATGCTGTAATTCTGATCAGATAGGTCAAACTTACACCGAATATATTTGTCAGTAAGCCAGTGAACCAAACAATTAAAAAAAAAATTATTTATTTTAAAAACTAAAAGATAACTCACTGTGACCGCGCCACATTGACAAATGTTATGCAAAGGTCTATTTTCATCACAAAGTGCATGTGTGCCTGTCTAGACACTGGTTAGTGTGCATCCGTTTCCTTCAAAATAAAGGTGAATACTGTATCGGTCAGTTCTATGAAACATCATTGTGTTGATGGCAGCTTTCTCCTCATGTGAGAGGGACGTGTAATCAAGTCCAGACTTGGAGCAGATGGTGTTTGACAACACAGAATGAGAAACATATATCAGAGACCGCTGTTTTCAATAAAGCAGCTTCCCACAGATACTGAAACTAATCCTGCTCTCACCTGACAGGGTACAGCAAATGAGACCAAACTAAAAAAGCTTTTGACTGACCCTGATCCTGACCAGAACGCTGTAGATTCATGGTTTTGGCCAAATTATGTATCAAAAAGCACTTTGTCCTCTTAGGTTTAAACAGTTGGACTCATTTCACACACATTTTCTTTCACAGACGGCTATACAGACTACATAGGAAGTCAAACATTCTCCTTAAATGTGCACTTGCTAATTTCTGGGTTGTGTTTAGCCAGCTCTTATTTGTCCCACTATAGTGGTTTTAGAATTTATACTTTTATTTTTATGAAAAGCATCTTGAGCACAGGCTGAAAGGACTAGGCCTACATAAAATAAACATATTATTATTATTATTATTATTATTATTGTCATTAGTAATATAAGTAGTAATTCAACTGCATGACCCAGCAGCTAACAGGGCACATTCCAGCAAAGTTATGAACAAACATTCTTCCTGTAATTCTTTCATAGTGTTCTCAAAAGGTTAGCACAAAAACATTATCTATACATTGCTCATGGAATAATGTTTCTCAAATGTTTTAGTTGGAAGTTTGTCTAACATTTTGTGCATGTTAATTATTGTTTCAGAATTCAAAAGCAATGTTCCTATAATGTTTGCAAAATAATAGAATTGAAGAAAAACAATTAAAAAACTGTACATTTTAAACATCCAGAGAACATTCAGAAGTAACATTTTCATTATTTAATGGAAATGCTATAGCAAAACGATCTTAGAACATATTTTAGTTGGGTCATGTCATGTGATGTGGCGCCCATGAGAAGAATTTTGAATCATCTGCTTCTTTTTTATGTATAAAACGTTTAAATTAAGACAAAATGACTGAGTGCACCTTTAAAGATTAACAGATGTGATGTGGCGCCCATGAGAAGAATTTTGAATCATCTGCTTCTTTTTTTATGTATAAAACGTTTAAATTAAGACAAAATGACTGAGTGCACCTTTAAAGATTAACATCTCTCTTCATATTGTTACTGCATTGCTAATATTAACCGACAGGGGGAGAATTTAGCACACAAATAACGGTAAAGCATTTCGAGCATAACAACTTTCTGTTGCAAAACATTGGATAAGTACGTACACAGCAGTTAGCCCACCTTTTTCATATACATAAAAACACGTTTCTAAAATAGTTTTTAACCCTCCAAATATTGAGTTTAACGTCCAGTATTACTGTAAACACAGAACTTCTCTTACCTGTGACATCTGAGGTCTCAGGTTGATCTCCCTCAGGTTGATGGACTGGGGTCTCAGGTTGTTGAGGAGCTGGCACAGGAGGACCCCATCCCGCAGGGTCTGCGCCAGGTCGAACACCTGAGCGGACTCCCATGTCACCCGATGGTTCGGTGGCAGCACCTTACAATTGATCAGCCATAACGCACATTGTCTCCAATGCTCCATCCTGTCCAGTGATGCACAGTAAAAGATTTAACACCAATCCAAAACCAAAGCGCAAGTGGCGTCTCCTCGTCCGATGCGCATAGCAGAATCACGGGCGATGTAATGACTGGATGGTGTTTCTCAGGGTCGTGGCACCAGCGGAGTGTGACTGATCGGTGTGCTGCTGCTTCCCTCATTCGCTTTTTCACCTCTTATTTTCTCTCTCCCCTCCCCGCGCCCTGCCCTCTCTCTATCTTCCTGCTTCAGATGCTCCGTATATTGCGCTGCTGACTTGACACCCGGAACTAGGCGATGCCTCTTATTTAATTTTATCGTCGATATCAATACCGATACCTCTAAACTAAATTGTTTATTAAAAGTATAAAATCAGTAATTATGCTCTCTTAACATTATATTTGAAAGCCATGTTTTTTTTAACATTTCATAGGCCTTTTTTGTTTACACTGTCAGAAGTAAAATGCACTAAAATTGTATTTTAGCTCTTTAGGCTTCTGGGTCAGTAACCTCAAAGGTGCACTTTCTCTACCCCTAAAAGGGAGCATATCAGTAACATACAAGTAAGCACGCTTAAGGGTAGATAAAGGTGTAGGCTACCTTTGAGGGTACCTCATGAAAAACAACCATGGTTCATTTTTGTAAAAAGCTGCCAGACAGTTGTAGCCCTAAAGGTGAAACTTTAGCACTTTTTTTTCTGACAGATTTATTAACAGCAATTACTACTTTTAACAACTAGTTAAAAAAATTACTTGCACCGCCTAATTAAAATAAATATTACATGTACACTATACTGTTCAAAAGTTTGGGGTCAGTATGATTTTTTTTTATGTTTTTGAAAGAAGTCTCTAACCATGCTCACCAAGGCTGCACTTAGGCTATTTGAACAGAAATACAGTAAAAACAGCAATATTGTGAAATATAACAATTCAAAATAACTATTTTCTATTTTAATATATTTTAAAATGTAATTAAAAATACATATGTGATCAAAGCAGATTTTTCAGCATCATTACTCCAGTCTTCACTGCCACATGATCTTTCAGAAATCAATCTATGCTGATTTGCTGCTCAAGAAACATTTCTGATTATTATCAATGTTGAAAACAGTTGTTCTGCCCAATATTTGTGTGGAAACCGTGACACATTTTTCAGAATTTGATGAACGATATTAAATGTGCAATATTGTGAAATAACTCCCGATTGTTTCTCTGTCATCTGATATGCATTGATCTGGCCTTTGTTTCCCAAATGCCTCATGAGCCTAAACTGACCTCAGACACAAATGGTGGCAGTGATGCTTTTAGTAAACGCAGACCTTTTTTTTATTGCAAGTATAAACACTTAACATTCAACAATTAATGTAACATTGGATGACATTATGAATACAGAAATTATATAGGAAGACAAAGAAGAGAGAAAAAATAATAATAATAAAAAATAAACAAGAATACATAGATAAAACAAAAAATACAGAGGTAGTAAATCAAAAATTAGGTGATTGGTTGGTTGGTTCTGTCTTTCACCATTTACGTATTTTCCAATAAGCAGGAGAAATAGTTCTATCCTACACAACTATTCGCTAATATAGTCTAGTTTTCCAATTAGAAGTTTATTTTATGGACTGAATTTCTTGCAAAATAAATACAATTAATGGTTAAAAAGCACTTTAACGTGAGGAACGATCCTTTCGACGTCAGTATCGAAAGTAGGCTATCGATACTTCAGGACAAACAAAACGTTCAGGGGTATTCTTTTACAAATAGCCTAAGGAAATATACTTTTTAAGAGTTTGCAACCATTTCAGTAACCACAGAAATTAGATTTACAAACTGCGCTGCATCATTGGACGTGAACTAACAACGACACATAACTACTTCATTTATTAATCTTAATGTTAATTTCAATTTAATTAATTTACTGATACATTATTCAAATTAAAGTTTTATATGTTCAAATTATTAAACTGACCTGAGCTTACATACACTACTCACAGTGGACAGTTTTATTAAAATTATATTAACTAGTGTTAAGAAATATTAATAAATAGCCTACTGTCACACATGTATTGCTCATTGTTAGCTAATAACGTGTAAAGTGTTATTTCTATGAAAAAGTAATATTAAGATGTCTGCAAATGTCACTTGGTTTTATATTTCATCCAATTGAAGGGCATTCAAACATGTTAAGCGTTGTTTGGTGTCCAAATACATTCTGTATGATGATTAAATCATTCCATAACAACAGTCTAATATCTTTTCAAGATTTGACAATGGTAAGATTATATGGTTTGTATTTGTTTCATATTCCCAAATACATGGCAGATGATTCAAAAATAGTTTAACTTGAAACTAGAGGCTTATTGGTTCCACCTCTTCTGCAGTTTGTTATTGGCTCTCTGAGTTTTTTACATACAACAGTACAGAGCGAGAGAATGAGTGTTGGCTAAAGAGAGCATTCTCTAGATAAGCAGCAGTGAAATAGGATGATGCATTGTCATGGATATCCTGCTTCTGTTTCTCTGTTCCTATCATCATGAACCCGAGGAGGTCTATATCAACACTGGCAGCTAAGACTGTCTGCATTTTCACTTCAGCATCAGAAAATACGCCTGAAATGAAAATGCATGGTCACGCTTTGGCACTGCAGCAAAAATAACTATCTTAGACTAGTACATTTATAATTAGGGGTTTTGAGCTTGCAGATATAACACTCCGCTTATGTTTGAAAAATGCATTTTGATTTGAATTGGTATGTTTTTTGTTCCTCAAACTTTGTAGAAAAGACACTCCTTCCACATCCAGAAGGCACCATAAGATGTTTACATGTTTTAGAAGGCCACAGCGAGCAAGAAGGTTGAGCATGCCGTGACAGTAAATTAAACCATCTGTCTGTCATAACCAAGGTGTGTTAGGAGCCTAATAAGCTCTGTGATGAATTCTTTATTTATCTTCCTTCTGTTTTAGGGTTGACTGAGGTTAGCTTGGCTGGTGTGATGCAGGATGCTACAGCAGACCAGATTTCCTCAACCCACACTGCTTCACTCGTCACCAAGGTTGTTTCTATCCCATTTAACAGTGGTATGGAAGGGCTGGACATTGTCATCAATCACATATCAATCCCCAGAGAGACTATCAGACCTTCATGGTGGGAGGGGCTTATCTGTAAAGCAGTGCTTTGTGATTGGCTGCAGAAGAGAAAGAGGAAGCCTGACAATGTGGGCTAGCACAGGAAGTGGAGAATGCAGGATGTTTGGAGCCAATGTCTATCTCTGTTTCCCTCCACAATTTTAGAGACTTGGCACAAGGCAGCTAGCCCCCTCTGAGCTGACAGATGATCAAAGCGTCACACACTTGCCAAATGCTCAGAGAGACTCAGGCCCTGCTACATTGCAGCCATTCCAATAACTGCCATCCTTGTCATGACCTGCATTGTGTCGGTAATTTATAGCCTGACGCGGCATGCTAATGACAATGTTTCTGGTGACAATACCTGATGACTTTGATGGGCTTACTGCACAAGCGTCAAGATTATATTTCACAAGCAAAGATCAAGGTTATGTCTGAAATTGAATACAGAGATTACACAGTCATTGCTTTTTTTTTACATAACATCTATTGTTAAAGGAATATATTTTTGGTTCAGTAGAAGTTAAAATAATAGTTCAGTCAAAAATTTACATTTGCTGAAAATGTACTCACTCTAAGGCCATTCAAGATGTAGATGAGTTTGTTTCTTCATTGTAAGAGATTTGGAGAAATGTAATATGCATCACTTGCTCACCAATTGATCCTCTGTGCTAATGACAATGTTTCTGGTGACAATACCTGATGACTTTGATGGGCTTACTGCACAAGCGTCAAGATTATATTTCACAAGCAAAGATCAAGGTTATGTCTGAAATTGAATACAGAGATTACACAGTCATTGCTTTTTTTTTTTACATAACATCTATTGTTAAAGGAATATATTTTTGGTTCAGTAGAAGTTAAAATAATAGTTCAGTCAAAAATTTACATTTGCTGAAAATGTACTCACTCTAAGGCCATTCAAGATGTAGATGAGTTTGTTTCTTCATTGTAAGAGATTTGGAGAAATGTAATATGCATCACTTGCTCACCAATTGATCCTCTGCAGTGAATGGGTGCCGTCAGAATGAGAGTCCAAACAGCTGATAAAAACATCACAATAATCCACACAACTCCAGTCCATCAAATATATTGTAAAGAGAAGCTTAACAATGAAATATCCTGGAATATTCCACTACAGAGGTTTTTGGAACTTTATTTGAAGTTAATTAATTTCAGTACAGTTAATATTTTAATTAAACACACAATTTAACAGCAAATCGTAGTCTGAGAGGAAAAGGTTATGGCCCTTTACTAATATCTGGACAAAATTATTTTTGTTATAACCCTTTGTAGAAGTATTGATCCGTGTGCACCGAGTCCACTGCAGAAATCAATAACCTGGAGACCCCATGAGGAACAGAGCCAGACATCTGATAGGGTTTCACGGTGTAGAGCTGTCAGCTGTGTAAGGATGGGACAAAGCACCAGATGATCAACAAAGAGGAACATAAGATAGAGACAGCTAAAGTCACTAGGGTCACAAGTCTGTAATCGTGAGCCACAAGGACTTGCCTAAACTAAATAAAAGAGCTGCACTGAACACAAATACATTTCCAGTCAAAAATTGGGGTTGGTACAATTTAAAATAAATGTTTGAATATATTTTAAAAGTAATTCATACCTGTGATGCAAACTGAATCAAAGCTGATTATGTGTCACGTGGTAATTCAGAAATCATTCTAATATGGTGATTTGCTGCTCAATAAATATGTCTTATTATTATCATCAATGTTGAAATGTTGCTGATTAACCGTTTTTTGGAAACTTTTTTTTCGTGATTCTTTGATGAATAGTATGTTTTAAAAAAAACTAAATTGATTTGAAATATAAATATTTTTTAAAGTTATAAATGTCTTTATTGTCACCTTTGATCAATGTAGTGCATCCTTGCTGAATAAAACCATTAATTTGTATACCTATTACTAGTAAATTATTATTTACATTGAAGTGCTCCATCTATTGGCTAAGTAATATTACTTCACAAGAGCTGAATCTATACCATGCTTGGCTTAAAGGGATGGTTCATGCTTGTG